ACGAAGATCTTTAACTGCGGCACGTATTTCGTATGCCTTGGTCCTTGAAACCCCATACCGAGTTCTGATTCCGTCTATGGACTTGATAGATGAGCTGTGTATGCTAAAATCCTTTAGGACACGGACAGTATCGCATCTCCCACGAAACATTTGAAGAGTATCATTAACATGAGGTGATGTAACGTTCTCTTCTGAAGAGCTGGAAAAGTACAGTTCGAAATCCATGTTTGGTTTGCGATTAACTCCTTCCGTGGATTCATCATTTTCCTCATCGAAAGATTCACGCTCTCTGTACTTTTCGTTCATGAAGTATTCCGATAACTCATCGTCCGATACAGCAGAGTCTTCTGGTGTAGGACAGTGCAGAAAAATGTCCGGTCTTGCTGGCCACTTGGTGTTTTCCGTGCTCGAAGTACTGTTTGCTCTGCCGGTGTTACGCAAGGTTGCTAACCGCTTAGCGACAATAAAGTCGCGGTGACATAAATCCTCCTTGAGGATGAGAATAGCTGCTAAAATATCTTGGCGAATGCGACATGGGTTCCTAGGCGTCATTGCACTACCGACAGCTGTCGCGATTCTACCTGCTTGGTACTCGGTACATACAGTTTCAAACATGGAATCGCTTAGATTGTAGCAAAACTTGAGACGGTCAAACAGATAACTGAATAAATTCCATGCCCTTTGAGAGTTTACCTGCTTCTGAAGCCATTCTCGCCCACTTTTGGTTCTTTTTAGCCTCTTCTTGGCTTGTATGGAGCTATGAAAGGGGGAACGGACGCGAGAAATGGTCATTGAGGTCTTGATGGAGATTTTTGTCAAAGAATGTTGTCAGGTTACGTGAAATGTGGTTAGCGAGAAGGGATGGGGAAGGGTACGTCTTTGGCTTAGTGTGCTCGAGAAAGAGGCGTAACGCGAGCTTGGAATTAGTGGAAGAGACAACGAAAGGAATATCCGAGAAGCTTATGAACATTTGTCTCAAGGAAAAGGGAAAGACCGTTGGAGCTTCAACGCAATTATTCCCCATTGACATGCAAAGGGAGTCTTCGTAGACTTCTGTATCTGTCCAGACATAATGAGACCTAGGAATACACGAGTTCCTATTTCGGCATTCTGGCGGGAAACTGTTCAGCCTTGCCATGAGGGATGGTGGACCACCATGAGTCTCATATCTGTTGCTTTTGCGTTGTCATAATCGTTGTCATAATTCTTATTTTCACTTTTCTCACGTTGTTATGTGGACGTAGACATGAAATGGCAACTTAGATCTAGAGTGTCCCCACCCATGTCCAGAGGGGTTTTATGATAAAACCAGCTCTGTTCATGAGGATATGCGCTTATCAGGGATGCATGCAGGTCAACGAGGGACGACAGTGCTGTGCTGGTGAAAGTGGTACACTAATCACTGTATTTAATTTGGATTTCTATATACTCTGGATTCGAAAATAAACTGGTCCAGATTAATTGCGGTTTTGTATCTCGGCGCTCTTCTTATCATATCGCTTGGCGCCGGCGCGGGGCATTTCTCCAAAAATACAAAAAACGATGTGCGGATCTGCCATGAACCACAGTCTCGTCAGCGTATCGCAAAGAGTGCAGGCACGAGATTCTGACATTTCCCATCCCCGTCCGCCATTGTTCCAACTATAAACAGCCCAAAATGCCGACCACTGGACCCATTGAACGAGCTCTGGCCGCTGCAATACAGCAGAGGTCTGCAACTCGAGTCCAAAATCTCAAGCGCGCACCGCTCTCTGAACCAGAGCTGCAACCTTCGACAACCCCAGATTTCCCTTCAATTGTGGTCAACAGCCGCAAACCGCATTCTGTTTCTACGATACCACAGCGCCGCTCGGTACTTAAGTGGATGGTGGACGAGGTGGACAAACATGGAGAGAAGAAGCTCGCGCCTAAGGCCATTCGCAAATTTTCCCATCTATTTACGGGCTCTTACAAAGCCAATCATGCTAAAGCCGTCCACTGGTGGAAGAATAGAGAGAAGTTAATGGAACTGTCAGAGTCAGGAAGGCGCCTTGGGAATTTATCAGCCGTTACACACTACGGTCTCAAAAAGGTAAACTTTAAAGCAATGTCTGGGAGAGGACGCAAAAAAGCCGCGTGGGTGGCAGCTTTATACTCTGCACTCCGGGCAGAATTTGATCGATTGTACGCGCTGAATGTTAAACTAAGCCCTTCTTTCCTGGCTTTTGCGGCAAAATATTTGGTACACAATGCAGACAGTGACTCCTTGTTTGCATCTTCAATTTAATTGACGGTAAACCCGTTGTGGACAAGATAAAGATTCGTTGGGTGCAGACATTTATGGATGTGCAAGGACTTGTGATTCGTCGTCAGGCGGGCAGTCTTGCCGTTAGCCCCCAAAAGCAACTGTTTATTGAAGAAACAGTTTCCTTCCACCTGGGGACATTGAAGAGAGGTTTTGAGTCCGGCGATCTAAATGAAGGTCTAGTAGAGAATGCCAACGAGACGCACTTTGTATTTAACATGGACAATGGCAGGACAGTTGGCTTTCGTGGCGATGAGAAAGTTAAATATTCGGATGTCGTCTCTGGCGACGAGGGTATTACCATGATGGTTCGAATCTCAGGTGGCGTGCAGGCAAGAATCGAGCCACCTATGCTGGTGTTTCAAAATCCAAACTCCTCGTACCCTATTAGAGGTGTTGAAGACAACGTACCTGGCGTCTGCTATCGGTCTGGAAGGAAGGGGTGGATGGACAACAGAGTGTTTCAGGCGTGGCTGTCGGAACCGAGGGCGATTAAGAAGGATAATTTCGGCAGAAAGCGAATTTATATGTGGACAACTGTTCCGGTCATAATGAGACGAACGCAGTTTTAAAGCTCTTGCTCGAAATCAACACGGAGTTACGCAAGTTGCCTGCAAATGCGACTGACTTGGTGCAGCCTTCCGATTCGTTTGTTATCTCTAAAATTAAGGATGCATGGAGAAAGCGGTGGGACGAATGTAAGGTTGGTTTGATGTCAAGGGGCGAGTGGATGGGGAGCAAAGAGGGTGCGAGCAGAAAGCTCAAAAACCTCGGGAAGCGGGATTTTCTTGAAGTTGGCATCAGATGCGGTTCGGGACGTCAAGGCGCAGAGAGACAAGAATGGCTTGTCGTACGCGCGTATGGCAATGATACGAACTGGAATGGCGATGAATGTCAGCGGCGTCTGGGAAGAGAAACAGCTGTTTTCGAACCTACAGGCCATTTTAGCAAAGCACCGCAATCACTTCAATGGTCAGCCAATCGAGTAGAGACAATAAATTACAGTGGGCTGTAATCCTATCTCGCCTAATATTGAACTGAAAAATTAATCTGGTCCTGCCTATATATGAACAACCCCCTAAATAATATAGGTTCAAAAATACCCTGGACCAGATTATTTACGGTCAAGCCTTAAAAAATCAGGTTCGTTAATAATCTGGTCCAAATTAAATACAGTGATCAGGTGTAGTGTGTCAACGAAGGGTCCTGTTTGATGGAATCTAAATACGCCTCAAGACGCCTCAAGATGCTGCTGGTCCTGGACTTGGCTGCGATTTAGACTGTTCGGGGTGCTCCCCATGCTTTTGGTCCAGTGTTTTCGATAGCATTGGCTTAAATCATCTTCGACGAAGGCACAAAAGTGGCATTGTCCTGGAGCCTCACCCGTTGCTCCTCGAATCGCTCCCGTAAATCCATGCATGCTGGCGCAGCGCCACACGGCCTCGTCCACGAGCTCGTACACGCGCGCCTCAGGCAAACGGCCGACCGACACGGCGTGCGCATTGTACGGGCGCGGCTTTCGGCGTGGCCTCCTTACGCAAAAAGAAGGACAATGGGGCGTGACGCTCGCGGCACGGCGTGCCGGGCGGAGACGCCGGCTTGCGGCGCGCGGCGAGGCGCGCGGAGAGCCCGTCATCGTCGTCAGCGTCGCCCGGGGAGGCGCGCGGCGAGACGAGCTTGCAGCCCGTCGTCGTTGGGAGGCGGCGGTGGCGGCGGCGGTAGCGGGCTGGCTGCGGGGGTAGCGGCGACGAGAGCGGCGGCGGTAGCAGGCAATAGCGATGGCGGTAGCAGGCGGCGGCGGCGGTACCGGGCTGCGGGGGTAGTGGCGATTGTGAACGACGGCGGCGGGGAACGGCGGCGGCGGCGATCAACGGCGGCGGCGGTGGAGAACGGCGGCGGCGACGGTGGAAGCCTTTCACTTCACAAGCAAGCTGCTTGACGGCGGCTTCCGTGAAGGCGGTGAATTAGGAGGGGAGATCGTCTGCTTCTGCGACTGACTCGGGCTCGCCTTGGACCGAGGATCATCTCTTCTTCGGAAAGGTAGGGCCGTTGTCCACGGAGGAGGTGGAATTGAAGGCGTTTGAGCTTGTGCAACCCCCCGATTCGGAGCGGGTAGCGTCTGGGAAAACCGACTCGCGTTGCATGTCTCAGGAAACATGGGGGGCGCAGTGAGAAAGTCAGTCATGGTTTTCATCCCAACCACACCGCAACAGCGACGGCGACGCGGAGGCCAACGCCAATAAATTAGGTTATGCCGTGCGTCGACCATGTTTGTTAATCCGTATCTATGGCATTGGTGATGGGGACGCGATCACCTGCCACGCAGCAATCGTGTCCTTATGACAGCAATGGAGATTCCTGTCAGATTCATTGCAGCTGTCCGTCAGACTCTGTCAGCTGGTCAGCTGGACGGCGCCAGGAGCATTGGGTATTTGTTAAAAATTTAAGTATTCCTGGCAAAACCGGGCAAGGCAAGCAAAAACCAGCCTGTTAAGACACACCCTCAAATAAGCAAGAAGTGCGTTAACACGTGCACATGCAAAGCCGTGGAAATGTGCTTACAGCTACACACGTTGGAGAAAGGAACGATACAGAACGGCGTTAAATTAATGTCGTGATCGCGTGATTGCGTGATTGCATGATTGCCAATCACGATGAATGGAATGGCCCTGAGGGCCATTCCATTCATCGTCATACCAACAACACGGAGGATCGGACTAGAAAGCGGCTTTACATGTTTGACACGTACAGACAGTAGCGTAACCGTCGGAACCGTATGACACGTGGCACTTTTCGTGTTCTTGCGTCTGGGCCTGCACTATTGGGAGGGTGGCACAAACAAAAGCGGCACTAATGCGTAAGGGCCACTGTATACGATACACCGACTGTATTTGTACTTCCGAGTAACTACCAGTGGTAGCTAGAAACACCAACTCTGCAGATGTCTTCCAACGCTCAATGCGATCTCTCCAGCGACCCGCTGAATCAGCACTCTGTCTTAACAGCTGTTCCCATAAACTCTGTCTCCGCCGGCGTCCAAGAGAATGCAGCCCCGTTCACAGAGACATGACCAAGGCCAGGGAAGGATTCGTGGTATGAAAGGACAAGGTCGCGGCGCCTAGCGGCACCGTTCAATGCTTTGATACGCGATTTGTATGCCTGAACCGCATCCAGCTCAATGAAGAACTCCCACTCCGGGTTTTCCAGTTGGTCTGCCTGTTGCAGGTGTTACATGTTTTCGGGGGTATGCGCATTCGCAACCGTCGCAGGGAATGACATGTCAGCGCCTTCACACGGATGGCCAACTCTTCATTTCAGGGAATGTTTTGGTCAGGGCTGTCGACTTACCTTGGTGATCCACGAATCACCCGTCGCGAAGAGAGCCTCTCCTTTGCCTTGGAATCGCACGGCACTGTGGCCAGGGCTATGTCCAGGCGTTGGGATGAACGTGACCCCACGAAGAGGCTTGCCGTTTGCTTCCACAAGCACGACACGACCTCCATAAGGTTTGATCGAGCGCAAGTAAATGTCTTTCAGAGCCTCTGTTACGCGAATTCCGAGAAAAGGGAGGGTACAGTGATATCAGAATAGCAGTCAGCAAAATGCACACACACTAGAACCTGTGTACCTCATGAATACAAAAAGCAAGCACGTACGAATCATATCGTTCGGAATGACTTCTGGTTTAAGGTTGGGCACGTTCTCCTGCGTCCAAAATTCATGATCGACCTTGCTGATGTACAGTTTTGCGTTCGGAAACGCGGCCTTTCCATCCACGGTGGTCACGCCCGACACATGATCGCCATGCGCGTGGGTGAAAAGAACGGCGTTTATACTCTCTGGCTCAACACCGGCGGCTTTCATGTTTGAGATAAGCCTACCCGCGTTTCTGAACTGCGGGAACTCGGGGATGTTGACAGAGCCAGCGTCGACCATAACGCGTGCGTCTGGAAGATCGATAATGGCAACGTTTTGCTGGCCGATCAGCGGGCTCACGGAACGGAACGACGCCCTGCGACTGCGTCGCACGACGGCATCAGGGACCAGAAATGGGTTTTCGGTAAATATTGCAGGGCCGTCCGATACGATAAGTCCTTTGATGCCACCAAAGCTGAAGCGGCGGAAGGCCGGGTTGTCAGAACACGTCGAGGTTGCTGCAACGGTTGCTATCAGCGAGACAAGGAGAGTGAAGAATTGCATCTGGAAAGGAAGTTCCCACCACGAGGCGATGCCGTTACGTGCTGGGTTTTTGGAAATAAACACTGGTTAAGAGTTATTCAACGAAGTTGCTGGAGAATGGATGGTGCAGGTATTGCGCACGAGTGCCGTGTTAAGTAGTGTACTAGTAGAAGGAACGAGCGGAAAGATGAGATATACACATCTACAGAAAACTCGGAAGGAGGCGGACATGTTCGACCATGATTTCGAAAATCATGGTACATGTGAGATGGACGGAGCAACCAATAACGGCAACGCGGATGTCTCCAACGCAGCAGCTTGACGTCGTGCGAGCGACGCCGATGAAAGCTCGCATCGCAAAAGCACATTCATTGCATTGTACACTCATGCGCACAATGCGATCTCATGCTCCATAGATATGCAATGTGCTGGAACTGGTTGGAGCAAGCGTTCGTGGCAACCTACCACGTACGTTCCGTTCCCCCCTGAATAGAAGGTCCGGAGGGGTACAGCAAAGCATCGTTTTCATCGAGTCGAGGTTGGAGCTGCATCTCGCGACTACGAGTCATCGACCTTGCCTAGTCAGCTCCCCAGTGTAGAAATTAGCGACCTACGTGTGCAGTGCACACTGTGCACTTCTGTGCACTACTGTAAGGTAGATGCAATTGCCTGTTTTTTCTCTGCCTCTACAGTATAAGAGCACCCCTATTGGTTTAGTTATATTTCGAGGTTAAATATGAGAAATTTAGCGTTTGGAGATAGCGATTTTAGGCGCAACACTACCGGTTAGAGGGCAAATTCAAACGTGTTGTGCAGTGATTGGCTCTTTCGGCAGCCGTGGTCATACACTACGAGGGATGGTAGTGGTGGTGCTGTACGGATATACTGTGGGGGACGTCTCCGGTTCCCATCTCCTCAAGCCCCACATGACACCATCATGCCCTGGAGGAAGCGAAGGGAAGGGCAGGGAGGAGAGGAGGAGGAAAGGGAGAAGGGAAGGCGTCAGGAAGAATGCAGGAGGGTGGCAGTGGCGGGTAAATTCAGCTTGGGATGGGGGTGTTGGGGGTGTTCTCTGTGCACAGGGAACAGTGTGTTCCCTGTGCACAGAGAACATTGCTCGCGCCAAGTCAATAGAATTGGCGTGGGTTTTTGGTAATTTTTCCAAGTGGCGCAATTCTACTCGCATCTCTATTTGCGCAAATGAGTAAATCTGTCTCCATCCGGTCGGCTGCTTGGAGATAGATTTACTCAAAATGGTAAATTTTTTAGAGATACTCACTCCACTAGAGTTGCTCGTGACCAAATCTACCCTTCTCCAAGGGCTCAATTTGGGACAATCCAGAACATTCCTTCCCCCTGCCCAGGGCATGCATATCAGAGCACCCCATAGAGCCAAACCGCGAGTGATGATGAAATGCGCAAAAACAAATAAAAATAATAGTATCTGTCAGTAGATGCGCACGTACAGTAGAAAACCAGTTCGCGCGCACCAAATTCATATCTACACAGTAAAATCGTAATTCACTAGGAAATGCGCAGTACAGTACCTTTACCGCATTTATTGATTAAAATCAAAGAGAACACAATACATTACCCGTACAGTACTCTAAAACAAACCACGTAAATGAAAGGAGATGCGCACGTAACACCTCCCTACTCCGTATCACTGTCATCAAACAGTGCACGACTCGTGCCACTAGACATGCGAACGCGGCGATTTTCTGTGTTTTCAACGTGTACACGGCGCCTCTTTCGCATCTGACTGGTTGGTATGGCCCGTAGGCGATTACTTACACCAGTGCTGTGCTGCCCGTCCTCGAAGCGGAGAGGGCGGGCCCTGACACTCAGATTGGTCAACGCCAGGCACGCTTTGAACACGTGCTCGTACAATCCCTCTCCCCAGCGCCACTTATGAGAAAGTACAGTCCATAAACTGCACGTTCTCCCAAAGTAGTTTTCTACTATGACACGATCAGAAGATACTTCGCGATTGTAGTCCACGTCGTCCAATGACAGCGTTGAACGTGCCGGGGTTCGCACCGGGTGCACCACACGTAGATCTTTGGCTGCACCTTGATATCCCTTGTCCGCCAGTATGGCCCAGTAGTCATCCATAAATTCGCTCAATCGTCCCTCATCCGTAAACCGCAAATCACGTACCCCCTTTTTAGATGCCTCCTCATGAAAGGGTCTATTACGACGAAATATCTCCAGATCTGACACGGAGCCCGGAAAGTGCTCTGTGCACCCAATAGCAAGACCAGTAGGCAGTACCGAAACTTCCACTTTGTACCCATACAGCTTATGCTTACCGGAGAAGTATCGCTTCCCTTCTGATATATTTCCACTTGGACGATTGCTCTGCTGAAAAGTGACGTCGACAGCATATCTCGCGTATTCAAAATTCGAAAACACCCGGTCCTTCAGACGACACTTGGCCATTGTCCATTTTTCTTCGACGCGTGCCACACATATATCATACATGTATTCTGATATCATACGTATAAATCCAGTTATTAAACGTTCGAAAGTAGAACATTTAACAGAAAATAGACGAGCTGTAAAGTTCCATTGCTGACCATGCTTGAGTACAGTAAGTGTCATGAAGAGAACATCCTGGGCCTTGTACTGTGTTCTTTTACCTCTGCCAACATTCCAATTCTTTGACACGTAGTCTTCAATCATAACCCATAGTTCGAAGAATTGAGAGGAATCAAAATTACACATTGCCTTAATAGATTGAGAACCTCCGTCATTATAAAACGTGTCATAAATCGGACAATTGGAGTCGTTCTCATCATCGCTGGCGACCACGTCGTCATCAATGTGATCGACGATCTCATTGACGTGTCGGTTGGTGATGTCCGAAAGAGCCTGAACAGCGCGGGAGGGATTCATTTTTGAGATAGTAAATAGAGTAGGAGAAATGAGGAGCAGCTGCAAGAAGTGGTTTTTCTATATCAACTGCGCAGTTGTTCCATTTTATAGTGTTTAGTTTGAGTAGACTGAAACTGCGAGGCATATCTCACAAAAAGGCGGGCTTTACCGTTTTTGAAAGTTGACTCGCAATTGTAGATATGATGCACAACTTATGCTATAATCTGCGTTGCTGTATTATTTGCACACTTAGTTTACTTTTCTACTGATATTCCCCAAATTCAAAGTGCTTTCACGCAACTGCAATACTTGAGGTACTGTACGTAGTTACCCTCATAGCTCCCATACCGTCCCAAACAAGTGGCCCAGTCAAAGCAACTGCCATTGCTGGACGAAGGCGGGAAATTGAAAACATGCGAGGCAATATATCTCTCTCACCACCATTCCTTCCTGCCCTCGGCATGCATTCAAACCCCCTTTTGCTCCACAATGCCACACTCTATGCGCAAACAATCTGCTAATCAACGAGGGCGTCTGCGAAAGGGTATCGACGAGCAGCAAAATCGAAAGAAAGCCCTCAACCTGTTGCGAGAAAAACGTTTCATTCGATATGTTGCCGATGCGTGCAGAATTTCTAAGTCTACAGCCGGCAGAATCGCTCTCCCCCTCAAAAACGACGACGAGACACAATTCTCACGTCTCCTGAACCCAGTGGACTTCCACCGGGGACGCCGGACCGTGTGGCACGCCAGTGAAGCGACACAACTTAACAAAAAGATAAAAGAAGCTGCCAAAAACGGGTTGGCTGTGGACACTTCTGGGATGAAATTTGTCTTGCAGCAGATCTGCAATGATGGACATGGATCATATCAGCATGGATCCCTGTCAAGCGCAGCTATAAGAACCTACAGGGCCATAACCCGTGACATAACGTACCGCCGCACCGAAAATAAGGACGCAGCCAAGCTGCGAGCCGAAAACCACAACCACAGAGAATCTCTTGCCCATCGCCTTCGAGAAATTGCGACGAACCACGCTGGGATATTTGATAATCCGCTTCACATTTAGAACTTAGATGAGACGCATGTGGATGTGGAGTTCGGAGAACGTGTGAAGGTTTTCTCACGGAGCCACTCCCACCACGGTGGATTTACTGCAGTACAAAAGGGATCGGGTAGACATATGACAGCTGTCATAGCTGCTGCAGCTTCTGGGCATCTCGCGCCGCTCTTTGTAATAGCAGCAGGCGTCAACGTAATGCAGTCTTGGACGACGCCATTAGACAAGACGTCGTTTACCAGTGATGAAACTGGACCTCACTGGTTTACGAATCAGGAGTAGTTGCCAGGTGATGTTGTCATACGCTGCACTGAAAATGGATCTGTCGACATGCCGACGTTACCTTTCATCGTCGATCACATTGATAGCTACGTTCGCAGATTTGTACCCAAGTCACAGCCCATTGTCCTGTTGCTCGACGGGCACTCATCGCGTAAGGGTATTGAGTGGGTACGCAAGGCAGAACAGCTGAACATAATATTGGTGATTTTACCAGCTCACACTACCCACTTCCTCCAGCCATGCGATTTGGACATTAACAAGACATTCCAGACGCACATACGCAGAACACGGGACGATTTGTTGAAGCTAACATCAACAAACGTGCACTCCGTTACTTTTTAATTGAAGCTGGCGGTTGCGGCGCACAAACGAGTCAGCAGTGACGATTTCAGAAGTTCATTTCACAAAACAGACCTCTGGCCAATGGACTTCCGTTTTGCTCAAAAGTTTGAGCGGATCGACGACCGTTTGAAGAGTAGAATGCACGCGAAAATTGACCGTGTTAATAACACGGGTCCGTCGCAAGCTGCAAGAGCTACAAAGGTGAGACATGTTGATTCCGAAACTGTTGAAGATCTGCGCAATATATTTGATTCTGGGGACAGCCCTACAGGAGTTTTGGCTGAGATACAGGGCGTTCTGAACGAGCGGTGCACGGTTCTCGATGTTTTAAAAAGTGTGCGTCCCCCACTGTAGCATAACCGCCGGCTACTGTACTATACATTAGATTTAGAATTAGATCTAACGCTGTAAGGTACGGACCTTACAGCGTGCGCGCGCGCATACCTTACAGCGCGCGCGCACCAACACGTGTACCCCACGTGTAGCACACGTGTGCTGTCAGCCCCGACGGCTGACAGCGTTACAGTGTGGG